ATGTGGGTGATATCAACAGGAAGGATACCATTTTCTGATAGAGCGTATGATTTAGAATTAGCTTTAGAAATTCTTGAAGGGCATCGGCCAAAGATTAAGAAAGGCACACCACAATGTTATGTGGAATTGATGAAAAAATGTTGGCACAAAGATTCATCCGAACGTCCAAATGCAAAAGTAATTTTTGAACAAGTGGATAAATGGAATCTTGATTTAACATATAATGAACAAACCAAAGATTCACTTATGTTTTTAAACGCAGATCGAGAAATGAAGAATGAAGAATTCCAATTATCGGAATTATCATCAAATGAAACTATTCATCCTGAAGCATCTCTCATAAGCAAACCTTTGCCTCCTTTACAAAATTTAACTTTAGATCTTAACAAATTTTTTTGAAGATGTTTGAAAATCAGTTTATATAATGAGACTAAATATTTTATTTATTATCTTTTAAATTATAATTATTTAAATTTTATGATTTTTTTAATTATTAAATAAATATAAAAAATATTAACTCAAAAATAGATTATAATCTTTATTGTATTTTTTTTTTCTCTCTATTTAATTTTATTGTGAGTTTAAGTGCAATGATTGAAGGTACAAAATTATTTGCTCATTTGATTTTTCATCGAGATTAGTTAAATCATAAAAAAAGGATCGCGAGTGAAATAATATTGAATAGGTATCAAAAGTCGCCGGACAACTAGAAATTAATAAAAAATTACTAAATTTAAAATGCACAATGAGTGATCTAAATTGCTAAACCTTTTTTATTAGATTCCCCTAAACTAGGGCTATCACATTATATATTTTATGTTAAAATTGAATAAAGAAATTGCACTTCAAATAAAATTAACAAAAAATAATAAATTTGACTTTGAACATTATCCATACCAGAATTAATAGATATTAAAGATAGGTGTTAACTATTTATAATTTTAATTAGAACTACTTTTTAAAAGCTGTAAATATTATCAATTGTTTCTACATATAAACATTTTTTTTAATTTAAAAAGTACTAAATAAAAATGATAA